TGCATATTCAGTGCATGGGGCTTGGGAGAGAGGAAGCCATATAAAGGCAGTGGTGAGTTGTAGGGCTTAGAAGCAGCCTGCATTTTTTTTAAAGTAAAAGGTGCACAGGACAGTAGCCAGTATAGATATGTTCTGAACCATAAAGCAAATCTCACGTTGGCAGGGATTCAAGTATGACAAATATGTTCTTTGACAAAAGTGGAGTTAGTTATGAGTCAGTAGTGGAAATGCCTGGAAAGCCCTCCAATATAGGGGAACCAAACAGCACATTTCTAAATTACTCACACCACAAGAGGGAAATGAGAAGATATTTTGAATTGAATGAAAATAAAGTCCATTGACTCAAAATGCTGTTCAAGCTGTGCTTAGCGGGGAATTAAACGTCACTAAAGGTCTTTGCTAGAACATGCCTTAAGTCAGTCTCAAGTTGTGGCTCAGTTGGTAGAGGGTTTGCCTAGCATGCATGAAGCCCTGGGTTTGATCCCCAATACCATATGAACTGGGTGTGGTGTCCTTTGCCTGTCATCCCAGCACTAGGGGTGTGGAAGCAGGAGGCTCAGGAGTTCAAGGTCATCCTCAGCTACCCAGTTTGGGTTACATAAGACTCTGCCTTAAAAACAAAAACAAAGATAAAAATCTAATTATTAATAGATAATATGATTTTCTCTAAGCTTATCTAGTCTCCAGGCACATGGATGCAGCCTTGAAAGAACCGATTAGTGGAGAAGGTGTGCCAAAAACCAAGTAGAAGGTTTGCCTTTCTAAAAAACCAAGACACCAAGACAGTAGAACCCAGACCCCTGTGGTCACAGATGCCCCAAACTGGCAAGTATTTGGACACAGCAATCACCCCTCAAAATCTAAACATCACTCCTTTGGGGAAGCGTTAACCCACACATTCCACCCCCCATTACCCAGTCATATAAAATAAATGTACATACTCTTTTCCCTCCCTGATTTTTGTCACTATATCTTTCAAATTGTAAATAAGTGGCAATGCACCCATTTGAGAATTAAAGTTGATGAACGTTAATGGGAAGTTTCTATGTTTCACGCCTAGCTGGGAAACATGAACAAAGGTGCCCCTGGGATCCTGTGTGAAACTGCAATGTGAAATCTGTGTGCAATTGTAAAAGTTAAAGGAGGCATGGAAATGGGGCTTCACCCTCTATTTAGAGTTAGACTAAGTCGTGGGGGAGGGTCCTTTTAAACTCCATGGAGGCAGAACAAGAGAGCCATGGGGTTGTAGGAAATGAAGCATGAGTGTGTGGCATAGAGTCTGGTGTGCTGTTTGAAAAGGGCTGTGGGGTGGGCCAGCAGGGACTTCCTGGAATAGCGTGGGCTGAGTATAAACTCAAGCTTATTCTAGAATTCTTAAGGTAATTTAAAGGACCTATAATGGCTAAAGCCATTTGGAGAAAAGTCACCAAATCTGGCATAATGACATTACCTAATATCATCAGGACTTACAGATTGTATTTGCAGAGACAATGTGATATCATTATAAAGATGGACAAATAGATTTAGCTCTTCCGCAACTAACTTATGCCAAAGAAATACACATAGTTTATTCAAAGACTTACATATGTGTTTTAAGCAATCTTATTTGTAACAGTTCCACACCAGAAACAAAATAGATTTTCATCAGCGGGTAAATGGATAAACCAGTTGTGGTACATCTATAAAACAGAATATTACTTGGCAATCAAAAGGAAGGAACTCTTAGTATATACCACAATATAGCTAGATTCCCAAAATAGGCTGACTGAAAGAAGGTAAATAAAAGATCATACAGTATTAGAATTCCAATCATATGATATTCTAGTAAATGAAAACTAACATATAGGCAGAAAAGGAAGCTGTGTTTCCCTGGAAATGGGAGAAGTAAGGGATTAATACAATTCCTTATGTTGTGGTGATTCCCAACCATAAAATTATTTTTGTTGCTACTTCATAACTGTAATTTGCTACTGTTATGAATTATAAATATTTTTGGAGATAGAGGTTTGCCATAGGGAGCTGAGTGAAAATCATTGGTCTAATATTATACTTGTGGTAGCTGTACACTTTAATGTATTTAGCTTATAGCTTGTTGATTAAACCTTGATAAAGCTGGGTTGGGTTTGTGTTTGTTTGTTTGTTTTTGAGACAGGGTTTCTCTGTGTAGCTTTGTAGACCAGGCTGGCCTTGAACTCACAGAGATTTGCCTGGCTCTGCCTCCTGAGTGCCGGGATTAAAGGCATGCACCACCACCACCCCGTGAGGATGATTACTGAAGGATACAGACTTCAATTGCACCATTGTTTATAATTTGGAAAAGCCAGAAGCACCCAGGCATCTAGTGCTGGCCAATTTAGTCGTGATAGTGCCCATAAACAGGCTGTGTAGCAGGAACATTTTGCTTGACATATTGTCGGGTAGATGACAAGGATCACTCAGTGTGATCTAAATAGCTAAAATCAATGTTCATGGCACCAAACCTGTTACTTGTGATTAATTCTAAAGAGTATACCATTGCTGGTTTGTATTTTTCAAATACTTACGTAAACACACATGTTAGTTTTATTCTAGAAAAGACTATTAAAAATCAAATTGTGGTGTTGGTAGGCAAAGTATCACATGCTAAAGCTTATGGGTTGGGGCCAGAGAACAGTGCAGGGCTCATAGAGCCTGGGTGGGCCTGGGTGTTTATTCTGTAGGGTGCAGCTGGCAGGAGGAGACTGCCAGAGAGCCAGTTTTTGGAAGGTCTCTGCATAATTAAACCATGATCCTTCAATAAGATCAGTTTATCTGTGTCTGTTCTCAGTTGGCCCTAGTATGACACTTGATTCTAACCTTTTCTCACTGGCCAGGAAGTCAAGCTGGCTACTAACTTTGTCTTTGTAAATACAAAATAGGAAAAGGAGACAATTATTTCTTAACACATGCGACTTTCATGGCAGCTGAACATTACGATAGCCTCGGTGCTGAGGTCTTTGGTTTCTGGTCCACCAGGAAATCACTGGGACTGGGGCTATGGCTCAGTTTGTGGGGTACTTGCCTAACAGGCACGAAGCCTTGGGTTTCATCCAACTCCACACAACCCAGTCATGGATGCAAAGAGATCGAGAGAAACCACTTTAGTGAGTCTCCCTAGCCTTTCCTTGTAAGTAAATTGAGATTAGAATAGAAAGCAGAATCATATACACAGCAGGAATTTATCCTGTGAGTTTAAATGCAGGTGTATGTAAGCACTGAACTGTAACATCCAATGTTATTTCAGTTGTGTTTGTTTGTATAGGTTACAGAAGAAAGAATAAATCTCAGAGTTTCTTCATATGCCCTAGAGCAGGGCTTCTAAAACTTTCTCTACTAGCAGTACCTTTTCACATAAGAATTTCTCTGTAATTAATATATTTGTACTTATTCTTTGGTAACTTCATACATGCCCGCAATGTATTTGACTTAGAAAAATGTATAACAACTCTAGTATATAGGTATTTAAAGGAGGAAGACAAGCAAAATACTCACTGACAATAAATTATCAAGACATTTATAAATTATAAGGAAATTTATTTTGAAATGATTTTGTCATACATATAGTTTTACCATTTATTAAAATAACCATTTTTTTATTCTAACAATGTACTTTTTTACATAAAGAGGTAAACATGGTTGAAATATTTGAAACTTCAGGATATAGAGCATTTCGGGATTTTTTTTCCCTGAACTGGTTGTTATAGTCCGGTAGTTTCCAACCTTCCTAACTCTGTGATCCTTTAATACAGTTCCTTATGTTGTGGTGACCCCAGCCATAACATTATTTTTATTGCTGTTTCATAACTGAACTCTTGCTACTGTTGTGACTCATAATGTAAATAATTGTGTTTACTGATGGCCCCTGTGAAAGGGTCATTCAACATCCAAAGGGGTCATGGCCCACAGGTTGAGAACCACTGATATGAACAATATTGAGAACACAGACACTTCAACAGAGTGCTTAGTACAAAATGGTAGAAGTACATTTAGGGCCATTTCAAAAATTGTTGGAAATTCTGTTCCAGTACTAAGCCAAAATGCACTGAGTGATTTTATATATATATATACACATACATATATGTCAACTCAAACAGCAGTTTTTTTAAATTAAGGCTTCTAACATGATACAGTACAAGGATATACTAATTTGATATTTTTGTGATGGACAGTAAAAATTATTAAAATTCTTTTTTCCATAATTAGACCATTATGTTTCTAAAATGTCAGAAAACTTAGGATGTGCAGTAAAAACACTGCAATGGATCGGTTACCACCAGGACTGCCTTGGATTTGTTATACATGGGACTCTGCATTCATCTTGGGTGGTATGTGCTCAGAAACCTTGCACGGTTGACAAATATTTCCTGACTGCCGGTCTAGTTTGCACGAGCTCACCTACGTGCGGTCACTATCAGTGTAAGCAGCTGGAGAGACTGCCAGTCTCACTTTGGAGCTTGCCAAAAGGGCACCTTGTCACTTCCCGGACTCATGTACTGAATGCACCAAGGTGGGTCCAGCAGCCTGTGACTAAGTCCCCTGGATGGATCTGATATTCAGCTGTGAGAACCAGTGGCCCAGCTTTGCTGATTCAAATACAGTCTAGAGACATCTCCAACAGACTCTTAGGCCCTAACCTGGCCCTACACAGTCGGGGGAGGGGGACGGTCTACAAGATGTCCAGGTGCATACACATTACAGTGCTGAGTTCAGAGGTCACACGTGCCTGTAGAATCCACATGGGTAATGTCTGTCAGTGGCATCACCTGGCTTCTTCCCTACAGAGAGGAGACCAAGAGAAGGCATTGTGCTGTGAAATTTGAGCACCTCCCGGTTTCCTAAACGTCTTTGGTATTTTACATTGGAGTTTTCACGCTGCCAAGCAGGTTCATTCATGGCAGCTGTCATCAGTGACGCTAAGCACGTGCTCAAACACAGGCTTTAACAGTGTGGTCTCTTGTATTAACTTCCTTGATGTCTTTTAGGAATTCATCAGAGAGCTGCTCTCCCGGATAAGAGGCATGAGGAAGCTGAGCCCTCCGCAGAAGAAGAACGTATAATTTTGGAACAGGGTAGAATTCTCTCGGAGACAAAGCGACCTGGAATTTGGACTTCATGAATACGTTTATTAAATAACCATAGTTGTCTTTTACAAACAATTTTTTGGTGTGTATGTGTTTGGGGTGTTAGACATTTATTCAGAAGTGTTTCTTCTTTTGTTATTTTAAAGGGTTTTTGTTACTGTAATATTTTAATGGCAAAGCTATCACAACTTGGACTGTAGCCCAAGCAAGGCCTGTCAAAACAGAGGCATCTGCAAGGATGGGCGAGGCCAGGAGGTGTTTTCTGTAAGGAGTCAGCCATAATTAGGATGTTACTCTACAGGGAAGATGGTTTTCTTACAGTCAGTTTGGTAAGACACTTTTAAGTTATACATTTGACTGGGATGTCAAAAATGTCTCACGGTTGTATAGATCTACAAACACTAAGTTAAAAATAGAGATGTGAGCTTTGCCTCATGTTGATGGAATAAACCTGTGCTTGTCCTGTTATAAGAGGTCACAGCACATGTGTTTTCAATATGCCTCCAGGCATTCTTCCTACAAATTCGGTCCATGCACAAATTGGGCATCCACTTTCTGCACCAAAGTGAATTAGTTGTGTCCATTATTATGACGAGCCATGCGACACACATGTTGAGTTGGTCAAGGGCTTAATTTATGGACTTTCATTATTTCATTGTTTGAGATGCTTCGCCAGGTCATGCACTTATTGCCTCTTTGTGGTCTTTTAAAGTTTTATGAACTCTTAATTTCAAGAACCAACCTGATTTTCTAAAGAAATGCCCACACTTCCTGAGGAGAGTTTTGCAATGGAGAAAGGAAGCCCCATGTAGCTTTGGGTTTTCTGTTTTCAGTGCAATACTATGTATTATCTCTGTCCGTGAGAGCAGGTCAAAGGGAGAGCAACGGATTGAGCCTCTTCCTTCTCAGAGGTAGATTCTGGCCCCTTCCATGCCTGTGTCTCAACAGTAGGGAGGTGTAAACTGAGTATAGAGAAGATGCAGAGATGGGAAGGCCCCTTAAGACACTTGTTGGTTTAGAAGTGTGACTGCATCTCTGACTTTTCTCAATGGTTCATGGTCCTCATTGTGACCTTGATTTCCATGTCGGGAGCTAGGCCTGAGTGCCTACCCTTACCCCTCAGTTACATACCAACTCTTTAGAGAAGAATTAAAATTCATATGGGATTTAGGCGGGGTGAAAAGTGAGTAGAAACCCTTCCTTCCTTCCAGGAAGCCCCTGCTGCCTCCCCCTGGAAACCCTGCCTGCTGTGAGAAGTCTCCAGGAGGCCCTGTCTGAAGACAGGGACGAGGCATTTTATATCAAGGGTGCTTTGAACATATTTTATTTTTTAAAAGAACTGTTTGTGAATTTTCCGTATACTGGCAAGCTTTTGAAAATGTATTTAATTTTGTAATGTTTACCAATGATTTATTTACAAGCTATTTACTCAAATAAAGGGAGCTGCTTACAAGCTTGTCTGTGTGAGTGATTGTGGAATACACAAGGCAGAGTTCACTTTCCCGTGCTCTCTGCAGAGGAGGGAGGGTACCAAGCGCCTATAGAGCTAGCCTCTCATTTTCCAAGGATGGGCAGGCATTTAATCACGACATTTCCCATGCTGTCTTCAGCAGAGGACCCACCATGCTGTCGGATTAAGAAACAAGGCTACCAATGCATACTCAGACATGCAGGCTCCTACTCCAAGGCTCTCCCAGGCTGTGCCCCATTCATTTTCCCATCTGAGAGAAACCTGTAGGGATTTGAAATTAACAAAGCATTCCAGTTTTGATAGAATGCCATGCACGTTAGGAGTCTGGAAAACATATGTGAAGGGTTTCTACCAGGCTTGACCAGTCCAACTTATGTTCAGCAGATGAGCAGGAGTCCAGCTTACCCCAAGGTGTCTCCTCATACTTGTACATACTCTGGCTTTCCTTCTCACCCTTGTTCAGTCAATGGCATCACCAGATTCCTGGGTGGTCCTGCTAGATGCTAGGCTAAATTCCTGGTTCCCATCCCTCTCCAAAGCCCCCAGCCACCAAGCTTAAATCCTCTTAAGTCTGTGTTGGGCCTCCTTAGATTGTAGCAACCATCTTAGAATTGCCTTTTTTTTTTTACCATGCCTAATCTTATCTGTTTCTGCTCTTTCTATCCAGTAGTTAGAATGATTCGATCACTTTTTTCTTAAAAACTGAGCTCTCATCACATCTTCGGAGGAGACGGCCCTTGCTTCTCTGCTTCAGTTTTTGGTCCTGTTCAGTACCATTGAATCCATGGGGTTTCTAGAATGTAGTTTTCTCATCAGGGTTTTGTAAAATAGTTTACCTACATAGAACACCCTCTCCACCAGCAGGCTCTGCTGAGAGGGCTGGAACAGATTCCCCCAGTCCACCAAGGTTTTCCCCCACAGCTTGGCATGGGCCCCCTCACAGCATGAATCTGCAGTGTTATGACTGCTTGCCCACATACAAAACTCTAGAGTTAGGCCCTGGAATTGTCATTCTGGAGAGTGGAATGTAACTCAGCATCCAGTCTTAAGCCTGGCTTATCAAAGAAGTAGTAACCATTGAAGATTCTTCCAGAAGACACCTTTCTCCCAAGCTCAGGTGGTGGTCCTGGGATCTGAGTGTATATTGGAATTACTTGAACTTTAAAACAACACAGGCCTCAGGCGGCTCTGACCCATTCATTACATTCCCTAGGACCACAGGACTTGTTCTTCCAGATCCCCAAGCCCTGCTAGCTGTCTTACATGGTGTGCTGGCTTGAGGTCACTCTCCATAATTTATACAATGACTGCAGGAGGCAACTGGCACATGGACTCGATGGTGCTGGCTCTTCACGCAGGTGCTCATCCCTGCAGGATGACCTCAACTTCTGGCTCCACAGAACACTGGGACATACAAAGTCAACTTTATGGAATGCTTCCATTTATAATAAGCCTTAGCACTGGGCTGAACACCTTGGTGCCTTATTTAATCCTATCTTTGAGCTCACGAAGTAGACCATAGCATCATCATTGTACATTTGAGAAAATAAAGCCAGGAGATTTGACAACATGCTAAGGTGATAATTAGACCTTAGACCTCAGACTCAAACAGGAGCCAGCTTGACTCCAGTATCTTCCATGGTTCATGATCACCAGGCTCCCTCCTCTTGTGGGGCATCACTGTCAGTAACCACTCGAGGGAGTGAGAGCAAAGAGCTTCAGTTGGGTTGGTCCAGGTCTCCGAACTGTGGCCTTGGGATGCAGACTTTGATGAGGGACAGGTTTTAGCCACTTGAGCTCTTCCTCCCACCAAGGGACAGAGGCTCCCTGCTCAGCATCCTGACCCTGGTGCTGCCTCTCTGTCTCCGAACTCTTACACTCCTTCTCTCACTCACTGACCCAATACAAAGTCCCTGGACTTGCTCTATCAGCTGAGTGTGGGGTACCACATAGCCATTTGCTGGGATAGCCGCATTGCCATTTGCTGGGAAGGCGAGAAACCCCAGCTCAGGGGGAAGGTGCTTGAACACATACGATCCTGGATTTTTACTTACCCCCTGAAGTCTCCTTGAAAGACTGGAAAATGAGCTAAGCAACAGGAGGGGGGAGTATGGTTGCATCCAGATCTTTCCAAGAAAGCTGGCTGGCTGGGAATACGTGCCACTGTCCACGTGACTCCAGTTTAGCAAGAGGACAGACTCCAGGATTATGGATCACATCTGTAGCGCTTTAGTTTCCCATCAGGGTCCAATATTGCTGGGACTCCCTCTTGGTGTCTGTCCTGGAGTCCATCCGTTTTGGGGGGTGCTGCCCTGCCTCCCTCTCTTTCACTCCTGTCTTTGGGCTCAAGGCTCATGACCTTTTTAACAGTGCTGTTAAGTGTAGGAGGGTGTGGAAAGAAACACTGTGGGTAGCAGGAGCTCTCATCTGTGGTCTTTCTAAAAACAAGCATACTTGACAGTTGGAACTTTCTGGGAGCCATTTTTATGTGTGAGGCAAACATGGTAACCACTACACTATAGAAACTTTGGAGTCATTTTCATATCGGACACAAAGATATTAGTATTTTTCCTTAGTTTTATTTATTTTTTTCTTGAATTCCTTTTTTCATAAGTAACTCTGTCGAGTTACAGTTGAAAACTAGCTCCATTTCCTTGGGGGTTTGGAGAATAACTTCCTGTGTGTTTATAAACTGTGAAGAAATGAGCATCTTCTCAGCCTTCGAGACCCAGTTGCCCAGGCTCTATGAGCTCCCTTCTAGCCCAACCTCAGGACCACACCGATGCTTCTCCTTGAAGAACCACGGCGACATCCTCATGGGCCTCACTGGTTCTCTCTTGTGTCTCCTGTGTACTTGTCTGGGGATGAATTGCTTTCCATCTCCCTACACTGTGTCTGCTCACGCCACGCCACGGCACGCCACGCCAGTGGGACACCGGGGTTAAAACAGCTACAGATGAGGTCCCCCAAACCAGCTTTTCTGATACTGATTCAACTTTGTAAACGAGTCTAGGTTTGTCTCTGGTACATGTGTTCTTCATGTTCACGCTCCTTGGGGATGTAGTAAATGAAGTTGGTCAGTCAGTCTCCTTTGGCTTCACCTTGTTATGCTAGATTCTAGAAGTGGATGGTCCTGGTGAAGAAGAAAGATTGGTTTACTTTCAACAAAGTTGTTGCAAAGACTCAATCGCACTTATACACGTGCTTGTAATTCCCCGCTGCAGGTGATAGGAGACCGTTCTGCAGGGGCCCCTCTTGTCTGAGCAGAGATCGCCTTTGTTCTGACTTACCTCTTCAAGAACATTTGGAGTATAACAAACAGCCTTGGAAGTTAGGGTTGCCACCCTTGAGAGCCAAGTGTGTGCCTAATGCCTGTTATAAATGGTTTACATTTCCTAAATACAGAGGACTTCATACTGGATTGTAACTTAACATGTGTATAGGAACTTGATGCTAAAATTCAACACCACACACACACACACACACACACACACACACACACACACACACGCTTTCAAAAACTTGATGGCAAAAATCAGCACCACACACACACATGCTTGAACAGATGTGCATTCACACACATACACACACTGCTGCTGCTAATTGCTGAGAGTAATAAGTTGCCCTTCTTGACGAGATTTATTAGTCTTCCGTAAACATCACTAAACAGTGAGCTTATGGGAGGGCAAACTCTCAGGCCACACTCAAGCGTGACCCTGGTCAGCCTTTGTATTCTCACTGTAGCTTTCTCCTTCCTTCTCCTCTATCTCCCTCCCATCCTGTTTTCTTTTCTATCTTTCACTGTGTAGTCCCAGCTAGCCTTAACTTTGCAATCCTTCTTCCTCAGTCCTGTTAGTTCTGGGTATATTGTTCTTACAATGAAATTTTCCAGTATTTAGACTTTAACTTTGTTAATCTTTCTAACTATATGAAATCAGGCATTTTTCTTTACAGGGCCTAAAAATGCCCGGGGACGGTTGTTCTGTGGCCAAGATTGACCTTCATGGAAGCCGTGTTACACTCTTCCTTCTAAACAACTTAAGAGGAATGCTGCCTGGTGAAAGGGAGGCAGGCCCTGCATCCTAAGAATTTATAGCAAACTGAGTTCTTAGAAAGAGGCAGGAAGACAGAACACAGCAGTTTTGCTGGGAATATTCCTCTTTAAAATAAACAAAATCTAACAATGCATTTACCTTATGGTTCAGCTGGCTCACTCCAAGGTATGTATCGAATGGCACTGAAGTCAGTACTGCTCACAATAGCTAAGACGTGAATGACCTACAGCCCAGACAACAGCATTAGTTAGCCTTGGAGAACGATGAGACCCTGCCATTTGCAGTGACATGGATGGAAATGGAGGATATTGCTCTGGGACAAACCAGGCACAGAATGGCAAGACCACAAACTCTCTCACATGTGCAGAAACTGAAAAGGTCAATCTGAAAGAACAGGGGTTGGCAAGACAGGTGTGGGTTGGGGTTCATGGGTGTGTGCTCTAGGCATGTTCGGGCATATCATGCAGAAGGAAACTTGTCGGCTTGTATAGGTGGCACTTATTTATAAAAGTGCACGTGCCCAAGTAGTAAAAAAGCTTGTCTCCTTCGCTTGCTGTTTTTGAAAAAGTGAACCCGGGAAGACATTAGTGAACTGAATTCATTTGCTGTATCACAGCTCACCAAACGGTCATTAAAGCCTAAATAGAAACTGAGCTCAGGAAAGAAAACTCAGGTGCCACTAGATCAGTTCTTGTCAGGTCTCTAAGTGACTGGTTATGGTAACTCGACACTCTCTCTTGTCACACTCTGCTGGAGGTAAGTGACTTACTGTTGTTTTTTTCTGCGGTTAGGTAGTGGTAAAATTATCCCTTTGGTACCCAGCACAGCTTTTAGAGGAGTGTTACCAACTCACATGTCCCTGCAGATAGCTTGCTGACAAATGGCAAGCAAGACTCTTCCTCTTTTAAAGGACACGTTGGGCAGTGT